CAGTGGACATAGCTGGGAACCAATGCATTGGTTAGGGAACCCTAGGGCCAAGGACCAAGCAAGAAGATGCTGTCTACCTCCTCTCAGTCAGATCACACCCCTTTATCTTTTACAGGCAAGTATCTGGATTATCTTTCAGTTAGGAAAAAGTAAATTTGAAAGCTATCAAATTGGATGACCTCCAGAGTGTCTTTCATTTTGGATATATATACTATGAATTTACGATTACCATAAGCTTATCTTAGGTGAGTTACCTTTAGAGCTAGCAATTTTAGGAGAGAGGGACTTTTAAACCCATTAATAGTAACTAATTAATTAATCAATTAATAGGGATTATTTCATCCTATTTAGTAAAAAAGCAACTTCTGATGAAATCTGATACAGGATAGATGAGTTTTGATATGGAACTAAAAGAAGAGAACTAGGTCCTTGACTAGGACTGAAGGCCTGATGGGGGCAGCTCAGCCATGACAGATATGAAAGGGCCCTGGAAACAGCCAGAAGCAATAACTAACCATTGGCTTCCACACATACCACCTTAAATCTTTACAAAGGACTAATGAGATCTCCATTTTCCAGATATAACAACTGAGGCTTAGAGTGGCTAAATGATGGTCCAGGATCATCCAGGTTATCAATTCAAGAGTCAAAATCCTGATTGAATGGAAAGAGGTGCCAAAAGAAGAAAGGGAAGAGAAGAACAAATATTTTGGCCCTGCTTCCTATTTTGTTTCAGCGACCTACTATTTGGGAGAATCCAAAGAGGACTAAATCACAGTCTTTTCCTTCTGAGAGTGATGGCTGGGAAGACACATATGGAAATATGGTAGTACTTGTGCTCCTTACCAAACATTTCTGTTCTCTTGCCAAACACAGAGTAGGACTGTGCTTCTCTGCTTCCTTACAGTTGGGTGTGTCCTGGCTTTGGCCAGAGATACCTGAGCAGAAGTGATATGTACCACCTCCAGGTGGAGTATTCAGAAGACTGGGCTCAGTCTACCAATGGTTGGTTAACTGGGCCATGATGACTGGCAACATGCCCCATGGAAGCTGCACCATCAGTCTTGGTCCCCAGGACCCAGGCAAACTGATGGGGATGTATCACTTAAGGAAGAAATAAATGGTTTGGCCGTTGAGAGGTTTGAAGTTACTTGTTACCTCAGCATTACCTGGCTTATACTGACTAATATAGTAACCATCTAACATTATAGAAGTACTAAGGGGCTAGAGTTTCATGTCAGTCAACACCCACACTAGTTAATTAGTAACAGCAATTTCTCTAAAGAGAGTTAGAAGTTTTTACTTCATTTTGTGACTGAGCAAGAATATATTTCACTTGCCTACTACACTGTGGCCAGCAGGTTCCTATTATTTAATAGTATGTGTCAATTAATTCCATTGATATAATTCATTATTAATTAAAACTTCCTCCAAGTTCCTGATTATAGGCTTATAAACATGGATAAAACTTCTAGTGTACTTATTTTTACCCCAATTTCTTAAACAGCCATAGCATAATTTGAGGGAGAAGTGGGGAGGCAGGGGAAGGAGAGGCAGTCATAAAATAGGAAAGCACGGAAGTCAGTTCCATTATTTCTTTTGTAGAGTTATAACCAATTTCCTTGACCATACACTATTTTCAGTCAATTTTCAATTTTGGCATTACCTTTCTATGGTTATTCAAAATATTATTGCATTACAAATTACAATTCTTAGTTTTGATGTCTGTCTTTTCTACAGAGAAGTTCTCTGAATTCTAATTCTCCGAGAAATTCATGAAGCTGTTAAAAGTTAACAATAATCCCTGCTCTGCTCCCTGCAGAAAAAAACAAACAAACAAACAAACAATAAGCTACCATTTGTAGACTATGGACCAGACTATTTTTTGTGAATATCTTTGTTGACCTTCACAATAATCCTGGGAGGTAGGTATTCTACTTATGATTTGGCAAATGAGGAAACTGAGTGGTCTTGGCAGTCAGTAGCTAATTTAAGCTCCACACCAGGAGCTGGTGGGACCAGGCAGTCTGTTTCAAAACCACATCTTCACCCTCTCCCCACGTCACAATCCTCAGGTAGCTAACTGCCTGCTGAGGAACATGTCTTGGATATCTTGGGCCTCCAGCCCCCAATCACAGCCCCAGTGGTTTATAAACAGGGAGGGGTCTAGACACACAGGGCACTCTGGGGAACAGATACATGGCCATCTGGGGCACAGAAAGATATCCAGTCTAGGCAGAGGCCACCTTCCCCTAAGAACAGACTGTACAGCTGGAGGCAGCCAGCCACTGCTCATTGTCCCTGGGAACTTCTGCAAAAACTTAAAATAGCACTGGACAAGGTGGAAACACAGGTACCTCATGTGACTGAGCTCTGAAATTCTACAGAACTTTCATGCTCTGGAAAATGCAGGGGAGTTAAGAGATCCTGGACTGTTCCTGGCTGTGTCATTAACTAGCTTTGCAAATTCAGCTGAGCAGCACCTGGGCCAGGGCAGCCACCACTTGCAAGCTCCCCACATTCATTTCTTTTGCCTGAAAACAAAAGTGGGCATTGCTGTTATCCTGAATTTCAGAGAAAGCATCAAAAGTGGTTTGTCCAAGATGACAGAGAAAGGAAGCAGAAGAGTTAGGGTTTATTCCAGCCATTTCCTTATTTAGAGCCTTAGTTATTTCATCTGGACCATAAGAAGGATGGGCTAGATGACCTCAAAAATGGATGCCAAGTTCTGTTTGTACAAACATCCTGAGAAAGTGAGATGTTCTATCTTCATATGCCTGGATCTCCGGGATGCCCCTTTGCTCAACTTTGTTCAATATCGGCCAGAAAGAATCTGATTCCTTTTTTGTAATTTGTTAGTATTGCTAAAGAGTGCTTGGTAAATCCATGATGAAATTAATCCCAGTGACAGAGGTAATAATGAGAAAAAGACTAATGTGCAAATATATCCTCTTTCCTTGTAATAAGAAAAGGCAACTCTTTCCTCATCCTGGCGAGTGGGCTTGTAATTTATGTGAGGAAGCAGTCTGGAATTAAGACCAACTTCATCTTCTTTCCACAGTGATGACAGAGCTTAAAGCTGCACCTGGGGCAGGTCCTCCAGGCCACATTCCTGATGCATCCACACTTTTAAATCAACAAACCAATTAACAACAATCCCCAAATCAATGAACGTCCTCTAGGGCCTTCCTAGGCTCTAAATGTTTCCTGGGCTCTAAACATCTCAGATGTCCTCAAACTTTAAAGGGTACAGCAGAATTGCCTGGGAACTTGCTATGAATGCTTGAGTCCTGGGCCCCCCTTGGAAAATGATTTATTTTATAGGCAGATATAGAGCCCAGGAATCTGCAGTCTTAATCTGCCTCCTCCAGCCCTCAGCAAGTCTGACATCCATAGTAAGGGGATCACACTGTTGAGAAATGCAGCTTGGTCCTCGAATTAAATTCATTTACTCACCCTTTCCTCAAAAGAGACACAGACTCTTCTTGCTATTTTGGCTAGACACAGACTAATTAGGTTAATTGAGATGACCAGTACAGTTGCGGTTTGCTTTGTTTGTTGGGTAAGTCTCATTATTTTTTGTCCATTCAGATTTTAAAGCTGTTTAACTGTGGTACACAAATGAGGTGCAATAAACATACATTTACGATGAACAAAATCACCATTTGATCTTTTGCTGTTGTTGAACAGTCAATGAACAAGGTTCTTACTGACTCAACAGATTCTACTACTTGTTTTGGGCCATTAGTCACTGCCTGCCTGCCACTTCACACAGTTATTCAGCAAGACAAATACGTCTCCCTATTTCCTTCTGAAAGTTTGGGAAATGCCACCTATAACGCTGTAATTTATCATCAAAAATGGGCCTCTTGTGACACTATGTGGAAATATTAATAATTTGACTGGGACTTCAGGTGTAAACCAATTAGCCAAGATGGTCTAGAACTGGGAAATATGCCTCTCTCTTCATCTCCCTCCTAGCTCCTGACCTAGATACTTAGCACCTGGCTATCAGATAGAGAACAGGGTTGGTGTCAAAATTTACTATTTATGATAATTTAGAGGCTTACATTTAGTACGGTGTCCCACACGGTAGGGAAAAGTCCTTTAACTATAGAGCCATGAGGAAAACTAGGTTTGTGTTCTAACCATGTAACCTTAGAGAAATCACTTAATCTATCTGAACCTCAGTTCTCTCTACAATAGGGTTGATGATATTTACCTCATACTGTTTAGAAGAGTAAATAAAGCAATACATATAAGTCACCCAACCAGGCATCAACAATTAGGAATTCCCTACCTCCCCTCCCTGCTATTCTGTTATTGCTAAATAGAAATAGATGAACCAGCAAAGGGTATCTCCGTTCACTGTTACAGTTATGTTACGTTCAGATCTAGAATGTCCCTCCAAATGTTCACACCTCAGAGGCAGGTCTTTGGAAGGCCACTGGCTTAGGGGCCACTGTACTCCTAAGTGGACTCCTCCACTGTTAGGATGAGGAAACTGCATGTGCTATTAGGAGGTAGGGACTGGAGGGAAGAGGCAGGTCACTAAGGCTGTGACCTAGAAGAGTGCACCTCCCGCTCTGGTTCCTCCCTTTCCTCTCTCTGCTTCCTGGTCACCATGACATGAGCAGCTTTCCTCCACCCAGACCCTTCCCCCATGTCATTTCTACCTTGGAGCCAGACAACTATGGATCGAAACACCTAAAAACCATAGCCTGAACACCTCTTCCCTTTGAGTTCCAAGTGTCAGGTACTGTCTGGCAATGAGAAAAGTGACTAAAGCAAGTTACTACCGATGTAAATACAAATTGCCCCATATCAAGAGGCAAAGAGAACCATTTACTATTTCACTGACTTTATGTGTCAAGAATTTGAAAGGGATACTATGAAGATGACTTGCTGCAGTATCTGGGGACTCAGCAGGAAGGACTTGAAGGCATGGGAGTGTTTCAGCCTCTGGGCACCAGAATCACCGAAGAGCATGTCTCACTCACCTTTCTGGTAGGCACTGCCTGGGTTCATGACAGCACAGAGGTCTCTCACTTCCTCCACTGTGGTTAAGGTTCCAAAGGTGAGTACCCCACAAGAACCAGGAGGAAGCTTCACGGTGTCTATGGCCTAGCCTTGAAAGTCAACTGGGGTCACTACCACTGCGGTCATGTACCAACCTAAGGAGGAGAACATAGAAATCACTTCAGGACAAGACAAGTTGATGATTAGGGTGAAGTTTCAACTTGATTTGCTTTGAAAGTCTGCCCTGGAGACTAGGGGATCACACTTCTAGGTGTGTCTGGGTGGCCTGGAGGCCTGGCCTTGGGGTTTATGTCTGGTCCCCTGCTCTGCTGGCAGTGCTGCCCTACTCTGCTGCCATGAACTAATCAGTTTTGTTCTGCCACACTCTTCTACTGTGATGTCTCTGCTTTGGAGCCATGACAAAGGACTGAAACCATGAGTAAATTAAACTGTGGGTATCGGGCACTGGGTCTCAGGCTCAAGGCTCATTAAAATGACAAATGTCAAAGACACTGTGTAAAGAGAGTATGTAGATGGGAGATCTTGATTTGGTCATTTATGAAAACACAATCTTCTACACTTACTGTGTAACTAACCATGGGGATAAAAATGGGTGAATAAAAAAGAAAAGAAATTACTACATATAATATGTCAAAAGTCCAGTGATGTCTGTGATCCTCTGAATCTCCTGAAGCTGGCCACACCCTTGCCTTTAAAACACAAATAATTGGCTTATCAATAGTGTAATAGCCCATTCTTAGAAGACTTCAGATGCTAAAAAAAAAAAAAATCAAACCATAGAAAGTAAAAGCCTTAAGACATGCCCATGCATATTTGGTGGGTTGTGTACACCAAATGAAATCCCATCCTAGCATTTAGAGCCTCTTATTACTTGGCATCTACCCACCCTCTTCATTTTAACTACAGCAACACTGAATGACCTATCTTTCCCAGAACAGGCTTGCATTTTGTGCTGTGACACCTCTGTTGGGCTATTTGCCTCTTCAAAGAATATTTTCCTGCCTGTGCCTACTTATCAAAACCCCATCCATCCTTTCAGGCCCAGTTTATACGTCATCTTCTCTACAAAGACTTTCCTCATTGCCCCCAAAAGATAACCCTCTCCTTCAGAGCTTCTAGAGAGCTTTATTTATATCCTTTTTTTCATTTCTAATACTTTCTATCTCTAATAAATGTTGCCATTTCCCAAGATTCAGATTACTCCCGCACTTCATTCTTTCCCTCTACCCGAGCCCCACCCTTCACTATTACTAAGAAGAAAGCGAGATTAAAGTGACTCACCATTTTGAAAGGAACTGCGTGCTCACCTGGCCAGAGAGTGTGGACTTCGAGAGATGGTAAGGAATCAAGGAGCCAATAGGAAGTGGAGCTGGAACAGGTGTGATTCCCCCAAGGCGCACGATCTCACTTACATGTCCCTCATGATTGCTTCTCTCTCACTACACTACTTTATACTACTATAGACATACATGCACACCCCATACATAGTCATTAGAATTATGAGACCCTGTGATTGTTAAATTTTTACATCACTTCAAGTAATTGCTTATCTCACATTTGTAGAGATCCACTTTTTATTCAGTACTGGAGAATGAACCCAGAGCCTTCGCACTAAACTACAAGAACTGATGAAAAACTATGGTATGCATATGAATAAGAGAAATTTATTACAATAAAAGACACATTGCCGTTATTTTTCCCTCAAAATATCCCCATCTTAGGCCGGGCAGGGTGGGGCACATCTATAATCCCAGCACTCGGGAGGCTGAGGCAAGAAGATTGTTGTGGATTTGAGGCCAGCCTGGGCTACAAAGTGAGCTCAAGGCCATCCTGCACTGCATAGTGAGATTCTGTCTCAAAAAGAAAAAAAAAAAATCTTTATTTTAGACACACTTATCCTGCTGTCCTTATCACATTCTGAAACAGTTCTGGATGTCCTCCTTCCTGAATGCCTTTATAAGGTGTGATCAAAAATACAGTGAAAGCTACTGCCAAATGCCATCCAACAGAAAACCAGGACATAAGAACATTAAGAAGATTAAGAACATTACAGTGAGGGGCTGGGGATTTAGCTCAGTGGCAAAAGCGCCTGCTTGGCAAGCGCAAGGTCATGAGTTCAGTTCCTGGTACTGGAGAAAAACCAAAAAAAAAAAAAAAAAAAAAAAAAAAAATTTGAGGCTGGGGATTTAGCTCAGCGGCAAAGCGCCTGCCTGGCAAGCGCAAGGTCGTGAGTTTGGTTCCCGGTACCAGAGAAAAACAAAAACAAACAAACAAAAAAAAAACAAACAACAAAAAAAAACATTACAGTGTGTTCTCATCCACCTTATCCACTGTATTTGACACCATGCAACTTTTGGTTCTTCCCAAAGTCAAAATAACCGTGAAAGGTAAATATTTTAGTCAATTCAAGACATTGAGGCAGTCATCATAGCACAACTAAATACATCAAAGAGAACACCCAAAACTACTTCAGAAAGCAGCAAGAATGATGGAATAAGTGTTTGAATCAAGGGGGAATATTTTGAGTGGATTAGTGGCAATGTTCATTTACTGTAATAAAGTTTTAAAAATTTAAATATTCATATTTTGATCATATAGCTTACATAACTAGACTCCTCCCCTTTTTTCTTTTGAAACAGGCTCTTTCTCACTCATAAAGTTGCTCCAGGGTGGGTTCAACTTTCTATCCTCTGGCTTCAACCTCACAGAGTCCTAGTATTACTGCTATGCACCACTATACCTGGATGAGATCAACTTTTTCATAAGGAAATTTGTGTACCTATTGATTCTATCCTATTTGATGAGAATCTTTTCATTCCTGGGTTCCTGTTCCTTTTTTTTTTTTTTTTTTTTTTAATTTTGAAGAGTAAAAGAAGGACAATATAGCAATAGGGGGATTCAACGAATTACAGACAAAGTGGTAGGACATTATTAATGGTTGTTATTGTATCTATTGGTATCTTCAAGATAGTTTCTCAGGAAAACAAATAGACAAATAATAGTGACATACAGACAAAAATGGCAGGAAATTATCAATGGTAGTTGTACTATACCCTGGTTTCTCCAAAGTGGTCTCTAAGGAAAACAAATAGAGCTATACATGAGTGATCAATCAGATAATCATTGACTATTCTCAATGGGTGTTGTTGAAAACACATAAAACAAACATACATTCATTTACAAAATAGCATAGGAACAATACAAACATTACAAAGTTATGGACAAATTGGTAGGAAATCATCAGTGGCTGCTGCAATACATGTTGGCATCCTCAAAGTGGTTTCTCAGGAAAACAAAGATATGCAAGAAAGATCCAACAAGTAGTTACAGCCCAAGGGTTGCGAAAAATAGCGGGTTACCTCATCAATGACTCCCCTCACTGAGGTGTGAGGGCTGGAAGGAAGGCCAGGACTGAAAAGAAAGACGGAGAAACCAGCACCAGGGTACAGCAACGGGCCATCCACTTTTTCCTCTATACTCATGCTTTCGCGGGACTCCACCTTCTCCATGAAGCGAGTTCTACAGAATCTGAGTATTGGGCACCCACGTAATCCATGAAGTCACGGTGCAGACCTCTCCGGAGCTCCACTCGCTCCTCCACCGCAGCCTGTACAGTTAGGGGAAGAATGGCTTCCAGGGGTGGTCTCCCCGGCTATTGCACAAGGTCCTCCTGGTTTCCAGCTCCCGAATGGCTCTCATGTCCCCAGTCAGCTCGACCTCTGAGTCGTCAGGCATCAGTACCCTCGTGTTCTCTGAGTCCTTGTTCATCAGCTGCTCCTCCCGACTCCAGACCTTTGTGGCTCTCAAGGGCACGGCCAAGAGAGATCCGCCGTGTGGCATGTTTTCCCAGAGGTTTCTCCATGTCAGGATGGTTCACGCGCCTCTCCGGGTGGGTCTCTTGTGTTGGTGCCTCTCTGTGGCATGGTGGTTCTCAACCGCATGGCGTCGGCCGGCCCGAGGGCCAGCGTGCATCTCCATGCCGCTTCCCGGGTGCCTGCTGCCTGTCTTTCCGGGCGCCATCCCCTATTCCTTTTTTTTGAACCACATTCACCTAAGTCCCCATGGATATTCCAGGACATGCACAATTATATTTTAAATTATCTTCACGTAGAAGTCTCTTTATTTATTTATTTATTTATTGGTATCAGGAATTGAACTCAGGACTTTGAGCTTGCCAGGCAGGCACTGCACAGTTGAGCTAAATCTCTGGCCCTAGAATTTATTCTAAAGTATATTATGTTTCCTTCTGTTGGACTAAAGGGTAAATGTGAGGACTAATCTACTAAAATAGCAATCAAAGAGGAGAAAACTCCTACCCACCTTATACTCTTTGTAATCTTAATCTAATCTGAGAAAAAAAAAAAAAAGCTCTCATCTTTTTAAGCACAAAAGCTGTCAGGCAGTATTTGGCCTGACCTTTTTGTCAGAATACTGTTCATTTCTCACTTCTTGCTTCTTCCAATCATCACTGTGCTTGTAACTTTGCAAATAACACATCTTAAATTTCCCACTAAGAAACTGAGCTTCTAAGGCAGTTTAATCAATTGCCTATAAATGTTCATGACTGAAGTCTCAGAACCACTGTCCGTAACAGAACTCCATCACAGGTTGCAATGCTGTGGTGAGAATGGAAACCCTGCTATCTCTACTCGCTCCATCAGCCAACTGGTTCCTCCCAGCTTTGTATGACACAATTAATGCCTCATTTAATCAATATTTCTTTCTCATCTGCCCTACAAAACTAAGGATAATATAATCCAGTAGTTTCCAACATTTAAACTTCATAGATCAGTAAAATTTCAGAATTATTTGATGGATTAACAAATGCTACTAACCTGTTTTGTTTTTTAAGAACTGGGGATTGAACCCAGAACATTTGCACTGAGCCCTTTTTTAATTTTATGTTGAGACAGGCTCTTCTCAAGTTAACAAATTACTAAGTTACCAAGTCTGGCTTCAAACTTCCAGTCCTCTTGCCTCAGCTTCCTAGGTGTTGATCAAGTATCACCAGGCCTGGCTCCAACTTTTTATCTCCCTGAGAAAGCAAATACCTGCTGATCCGTGGGTATCCCACTTAAAAGAATAGAGGTAGGTGGCTGATGGACTCTCAGTGGCAGAACAAAGGTAACTGTAAATAAGTAGGCAAATATGCAAGATAATAGAACTACAAAAACAAAAGAACACTCTCTGATCTCAAAATTAAATGTTACAAGGATTTGAAAGGGGTAATGCAGGTACATTCACAACTGATGAGAGGGAACATTATTGTAATAACTGGAACCCTTTTCCCAGGTCCCTCCTCAGCTACCACACACACACACACACACACACACACACAGTCTTCAGTGACAGGCCCTCACTGCCTACCTAAGGGCTGAGTCCCTACCAGGGTCCACTGCTGATCATCTCAGAAACAGGAAAATCTTGCTCAGTCATCCTAAACCCAAACAAGTCAGCTCTGACTCTACTTTTGGTGACTGGCCTTCCTTAGTGAACCAGACTACATTCTCTAGCTCTGTTTCAGCTACTTTCTTCTTATATAATTCCTGATGCCTTTTTATGGTTCCTTTCCCAATGGCCCAAGAGCCTCCAGGATGGGAATTTTACCCTTAAATCTCAGTCCCCATTCCTAGATTCCAACACCTACATCTAGGCATTCCCAGTACTCACTCCCACATAGAAGGGACATACATGATCAGTTGCTTACTCCCCTTCCTACAGCAGGGAAGCCCCTGGCAGCCTTGCTCTGAACCTCCCACCAACCAGCCTCTCTGCTCACACCTACAAGCGCTTCCTGTTAGCAGACCCTTGCTGATGTTATTCCACCTACTAAAGACTGGCTCCCTCCACGGAGCCAGAAGTACTGTGTAGTGTGAAGCATTTTATATGCATACATACATGTGTATATGTTTTTGTGGAGAGAGAGCCCTTAGCATTTCTCAGCCTCTCAAAGAGTTCCATGACTCTGAGAAACCAAACACTAAAACAAAGTCCCTTGATTAAGGGCCATTTCCTGACTGAGAAATGAGAATCATACATTCCAGGCTGATATCATTATATTTTACAAGGAAGCAAGGATTTAATGAAGAGGAAGCATCTATCAAGAGTCCCGAGGGTCTGGAGAAACTGGAATTTAAGTCTGATTCTGTATCTTCTCTTGTTCATTTGTGGCCAGTCCACGGTGTTCCTTCAGACCACTTCTACATTTCCCTCTGCTGGTCATGCTACCTGCAATCATCTCCCTGTTTCGTTTTTGTTTTTATTGTGGTGGGGGTTGAACCCAGGGCCTCTGCCCAATGCACATATTAGTCAAATGCTCTACCACTGAGCTTCAACCTCAGCTCAGCTCTTTTTTTTTAGACAAGCTCTCACTAAGTTGCCCTGAGTGGCCTCCAATTTAATATCCTCCTGCCTCAGTGTCCCTGAGAGCTGAATTAAGGGATTACAGGCATGGACTATACCACTGGGTGCCAACATCTCTATGTAAATGAGTATTTGGCACCTTGTAACCACTCAACAAATATCAGCTGCTGAGATTTCTCAATCAAGGAGAGCCTCTTAGTTTAAGAAAGCAGAAGTTCATATTCTCCTGGTTCTTCTCCCTGGAAGACATTATCACTTTCATTCTTATTTAAGTTACTTTTCCTAAGGAAGCCCATATTTCCAGGTGTCCCACAGCCTCAGAGAGGTACAGCCAGGGATAAAGTGCTGCCTGGCCCCAGAGAAGATGTTCACGGTCCTATGGCAGTATGTGTGAAGGCGGTAGACCTGGCAGCCAATGCCTGTCCAAACCACATGATGCCATAG